GCCCAAAAATTAGTAAAGAAACTTAAGGAAACATTTCCTACTGTTTTTTCTCCAGGTTTGGGAACGTGTACCAAGATGGAGGCAAAATTCCAGCCAAAAGAAAACGCTCAGGCGGCATTAAAAAAGAAAAGGAATGTGCTGTTTGCTTCAATTGAACAGATAGATAAAGGATTGGACAGATTAGAGAAAACCGGTGTATTCAAAAAAGTTGAATGTATAACACCGACGTTATACGTGAAAAAAAAAACCCCTAGAAAGTAAAGATGAAGCCGACACCGAGAAAAACTAGGGAGCGAGTTACCCGCAGTCAAGGACATGCAGTATTATTAAATGATTTAAGTCAACTGAAGTCACCACAGAAAACGTTAAGAAGCACAAGATCAACAAAAGGGAAGGTTGTTTCTGGTAACACTATGGAGGTACCAAAAAATAGAAAGCGGATTGGCAATATGATGCACTTGGTGAAAGGCGAAAAATTCACGTGCAGTAACCAAATCAGACGACGTTTTTCAGACGTGGTTGACAGCGGTCCCGCGGAAGAAACACCGATGGAGGTGATTTTCGATACGTTTGATCTAACAACGCCTGCAACGATTTTACTTGAGGTACGCCGATCCAGGAGAAAAAGAAAGGCAACTGATCATTTAAAAGTGGATCCAAAACGTAGGAGATACGCTACGATGTTACTAAAAAAATGAATTTTTTTTTTTTTTTTCTTTATATTTCCTGTAAAAAATAAATAAATAAAACTGTTTACTCCTACGGAGTAAAGTTTTAGGAGGGGGTGTTATAGTGGAACACACCTATTCTATAGTTAATAGACTCTCCCACCTATAATAAGTAAGATTAATGAGTCGGTCAGTCAGTCGATGCCGGACGACAGTTAGTCGAATACTGAAGTATCAGCGACCGCAACTAGATTACTCTGCGTTATACCTATTATATCAACGTAACGTAACGTTTTGTACGTCGAACCTATTTTAGGACCGACTTAGTACAAATACAAGCCTCCACTGTGAAATGACTCCACAACAAGATCATCGTTCATTGCAGATCTTTTTCGCTTTACTAGGAAACTGCTTGGAGATAAGCGGTGTTGTCAGCTAGAATGCTCTACCGATGAGATTAACACAAGAAAATCACAATATTGATCTAAGTATTTGCCTTTTCTCGAAAGCTTAGATCAATATTGTGATTTTTTTTCTTCGTTTAATGATAATGTTATTAAGCTTATCAGACGTTATGAAAAGAATTTACATAAAATAAATAGACAACACTTGTCTATATTATTTAATGAAACATGTATGAATGAAAAAAAATGCTGCCTATATATATATATATATATATATATATATATATATTCGATTTAACTCTAAGAAAGTCAGTAAAGCCACTGAGACACACTGGGTTACCAGGCGTGAAAGAGTTAGAAACAGAAACATTGCTAAGTAGCGAGAACTAAAGAAGAGAAATCCAATGGGCAGTAGATGGCGATTAACACTGCATTTAAATTTTGGCTGATTAAAATTGGCTGGAAATCATGGGACCGGAAGGGAGTTCCACAAGCGAGAAATGCGAGATAACAAACTGTTAGCATTTACGCCTACGCCTAGCCTGTTCAACTGTAAATTGGTGAAACCTCATCGCCAGTCTAGTACTGCGTTTAAATTCAAAGAGACTAAGCACCATAGCGAATATCTCATCCGAACAATTACCATGAAAGTATATATAGAAAAGCTAAAGGGAGGCAGAGAGGTTTCTCCCAGTCGATTAATAGAGAGCAGTTTTGTTTTGGAGCCGTTAAAATTAACAAGCCATTTTTTGTCCCAGTTAACAAAAGACTGAATGTCGTTTGACATCAGCTGCCAATTTGACCATATCGAACTTACTATCGAGACAGGAGTAAATGGTTGTATCATAGATACCAAATTGAAAGTCGATGCAATCGGGAAGGTCATTATTGAAAATCAAAATAATGTAGGAACAAGGATGGAGTACAAAAGGAACTGGAAGAGATTAGTTTTATTTCACGATTCGATAGGAAAGATTGAATCAGTTCAAAAATATATCGCGACTTACCGTAACTTTTAGCATGTAGAGAAGACCTGCTTGCAAAACCCTGTCGAAAGCTTTTGCTATGTCCAAAGCTAGAGCCCGGACTTCACTATTTTTAGCTAGAGCTTGATAAAAGGCTCAGTGATGTGAGACACTTAACCAATTCAGCATTGATTAGGACCTCTAGGAGTTTCCCCAAAAGAGGTAAAAGTCTAATAGGCCAATAATTGGAGGTGTCGGACGGTTCCCCGTGTTCTTAAAAACTGGAACAACAGAAGAGGACTCCCAGCAGACCGGAAAGCAAGAGGCAGAGAGGCACTTATTATCTACTAATTATTTAGAGAGAACAGGAGCCATTTTGGGAGCACACTTCTTAATGACCATTACAGGGATACCATCAGGTCCACATACTTTGTGGAGATCCAAGTTAAAGATGATATCAGAAACCATAGAAGGTGTTATATGCATATCACTCAGCAGAGACTCATTTTTAGGTGCGAAAGTTAGATACTTCAGATGATTCAAGAGTAGAGTTTAAGGAAATTTTACCAGCGAAGCATTCAGCTTTATCATCAAAAGATACCTCAAATACAGGACCGGTGCGTACTACCCTTGAACACCTCGACCGGGCGGCAAGCCTGATTAGGGACTTTTTTGACCTTTGCTATCTTATCAATATTTGCTTTTTTACTACCTATATTTATATACATCAAATATTAAGCTAAGCACAACATTATTAACGGATGAAAAACTTTTGTGTATTTTGACATCATTCTGAGGCATTTTTTCGACCAAATTTATGAATGCTTTTCGCTCATGTTAATTCTCGAAAAAAAAACACCATATAAAATTCATTATATTTTCATCCATAATGTTGAATCTGCTAAAATTATTAAACATTTTAACAAGAAAAATCTCAAGTTGATGCTAAAAATTACCGCGAAACATTATCGATTTATTTAACATTTGCCTTTAAATACATTGAATTTATTTTAATTTTTCTAGTTAAATTGTTCACCTATATTGCATATGATCCATTATTGTACATAATTAGGTTGCAATAAAATTTATATTTTATATGAATACTACCTTATGACACTTGAGATGTAGTAGAGTGGGATCCCCGTATCATAGATTCGGCGAGGCATGATACCATTGGACCGGCCATATATATGTGTGTGATAGTTTCACAGTATGCACATATACTACATTTTGAGTCTAGGTAGAACGCCCGAAGGACATCAATTCATGCACAGAGTATCCCGTCATTTTTTACGGGTACTATGCTAGTAATTGTATAGATACGACGTAGGATAAAGATAACTGAAATTGTTTCTAGGCAACAGGTATTTGATTAAAAAAATATCTGACTGAAATATCAACAATAGCAACCAAAGATTTTGTCTTCAATGAAAATATTAAGTATACCTTTTTAAGTTATCGTCAATCTTTGTGTAAAAATTATCTGGGATAGAGCAAAAGAGGAGTACTGAACATTTTTAAGTGCATAACATTACTGATAACTTTATGGAAAAGAAGGTTGTGTTGTGCTAATATTACTTGGGGAGAGGATCTGACTGATATGAGAATTAACGTTTGAAATATTTGTTTACATCGGGACATATACCGACCATAATGTTGTAATGGTTAGCAAGCTTGTCTCGCTAGAACAATTACGACTGAGTAGTGAGTTCAATCATCACTGAGTGCCCCTTACTTTCGGCCTTGTGCCACATCCATGCTACGCTTGGAAAATAAAAGGACACCTCGAGACGGTGTAGTGGTTAGCAAGCTAGTCTCGCTAGAACAGTTACCACTGAGTAGTGAGTTCGATCTTCGCTGGGTACCCCATACTTTCGGCATATGTAAGCAACGCATGGAAAATCACTATACTGATCACAAATATGCGGCCATCCCAGTATTGTAGTAGAAAGCGTCGGTGGAATAATAATGCTGAGACATTAAATTAAGTATAACAAGATAGAAAACCCATATTTATTTAAGCAGAGAGGATTAACGAAAGATGGCGTTTTCAAAAAAGGGAGAGAAAGCCATGTCCATCTGGAACAGAGTTTGTAATCGACACATCTTGCTGAACTATTTGTCTTTTAGAAAGAAGGGGTCGCTTTCGATCTATACAAAAACACACGGAATATTATTAAAGTTGGGGTATAAGTGTTATAGAGTAGTTTTCACAGTGGAGGCTTGTATTTCACTAAGTCGGTCCTAAATTAGATTCGACGTACAAAACGTTAGGAACTTGAAATTATAGTTAATGACGCAGCAATCTAGTTGTGGTGGTTGATACTTTAATGTCCGACATCGACTGATTCACCAACGCACTGAGAGTATTTAGTCACCCCCCCCACCACCACCACGAGGGCATCATGTGGCACAAGGCCGGATTAACGCGGGATTTCCGAGCCCGTGGGCTCGGCCGAAAATATTCCCTTTGAACCCGTATAAACGGGATCAGGGTCGGTTTACCTCCCCGAAAGAGAATCCGCCCTTCGGCGTAGCCACTTTCGGGTTCCTCCCCGCACGAAGGCTGAGAGTTCAACCGGTCAGCTGGTCGTCCGACTTCAGACTGAACCCAGACCAACTCACTGAACCCACTGGTCACTGCTACTACTACTACTTATTATCTGTGGGAGAGTCTATTTACAATAGAATAGGTATGTTCTAGTATAACAATAAGACAGGTCAAATGCGCGATTTCTCAACCTGTATTTACGTCAATGTTCCATTTTCTCAGCTGCACCTCTAAACCTAGAAGGTATCTTCAGAAAATTAGAAACGGCTTATCCCGGCAAAGCCAATAAAGGGGTAACACGGCCGGCGATGCCGTTAAAAATATGTTACGTGAAAGAAACCTGCACTGAAAGGTGTTTCTCTATGGATGACCCAAAATGATAAAAACAAAACAAAAACATTTCTCCACTTACGTATTCTGTTTCTGATTCATCGTGGCTGAGATACCACTGCCTTTAAAGCTGATAGTTCCTGTGTAGTTCATCGAAAGTACGTAATTGTTACCGGATTCGAAATACTCTCCGGCCAGGGTGTACTGTATTGTCGCCTTCTTTATTTCCTGGTGAAATTTGATTGTCTTGGTGTCTGTTGTGCGACGTATACGCACGCTGGAATTATCCACGATTAGTCCTTGGCTGTCCAAGATAAGAGCTGAGGTCTGGTTAAGACATTTTATTTCCAGCTCTAAGAAACCTCGGAATGTACTGCGAGCGGTTGATGGATAATCCGGCTCAAATTCTAGCAAGTATTTTACTGGTACCAGAAACTGATTCTTGGATGGTTGTGGAACTTTTTTGGTTGTCGAAGGCACTTCGGTGGTGGTTAAGTCTTCGGTTGTTGTTGTGTAATCTGTAAAATAATAAAATGAAATTGCAATTGTTGCATAATCCATTATATGGTTCATTGTACAACTCTTATTCAATGAGTTGTTTTTTCTTTTTTCTTTTTGTTAATTTTAGGCGATATATAAATAGAGAACTAACTTGAGGTATCTCTATCATTTTTTTTTTAATCAATATCATTTCATGTAAGCAGTAGAGCTACTAAGACACAAGGGGTTACAGGGTGTGGAAGAATAGGAACAGAAACATTAATACTGAGTGAGAAGAGGAAAGAGCAATAAGGAGCACAGTAGAAAGCGATTGACATCGCATTTAAATTTTTGCAGATTAAAGTTGGCTGGAAATCATGGGGCCGGAAGGGAGTTCTACAATCGAGGAGTACGAGAAAAGAGACTGTTAACATAGAATTTAGAGCTACATCTAGCCAGCTCAACCGTAAATTGATGATATCACGACGTCAGCCTAGTATTCCTTTTAAATGAAAAAAAAAATCAAGGTACCATATCGATGAGCTCAACTGAACAATTACCATTTCGAGAAATGACACGGCGAGGTAATATTACGTTGCTGAGAAATTTATTGAAGCCAAGCCACCAGATCAGGACCAATAATATTGCTGATTCTTCTTTGGATTTTATCAAGGAGCTCGAGGTAAATAGCAGAGGAACCGGGCCATATGTGGCAGCAATAAGCATAGACATATGGTAGACTTATAGATATGTAAGATCCTGGAGAGAAAAATTGTTCCGCACGACACAAAGAGCCAACTTTCTTAATAGTTGACCTAACAATATACTCTTTCCACTTTATGTCACCTGAGAACTTTAGTCCGAGAAAGCGCAACGAATCAATTTCTTGCAGATTAATATCAGCTACGCCGATGAAAGGCAGAGAGGAGTCTCTCAGATGATTAATGGAGCGAAGTTGTGGAGGCGTTAAAATTAACAAGCCATGTTTTGCCCCATTTAACGACGGACTTGAACCCGTTTTGGACATCGGCTGCCATCTTGTTCGACCGATTAGCCTTAATATCGAGGCAGGAGTATATGGTTGTGTCATCAGTGTAGATACCATGTTGAGAGTTGATGTCATCGGAAAGATCATTAATGAAAATTAAAAACAGAGAAGGACCAAGGATAGAACTCTGGGAGACACCCACTTTAGTACGAAATGATCGAGAAGAGTGGCCGTTCAGGATAACCTTCATTTCATGATTTGACAGAAAAGACTGGATCAGTTCAAAAATGTGTCCGGAGACACCGTAACTTTTCAGCTTGTGGAAAATGTCAAACCCTGTCAAGGGATTTTAAGATGCCCAATGCCACAGTCCGTGCATCACCGTTTTTATCTAGAGCATGATACACTCTTTCTGCTGTTATCATCAGTGCATCAGCAGTTGACCTGGAGAAACGAAAGCCATACTGCTTGTCAGAAAAAAGTTCCTGTGATGTATTGAATTCAGAGTTGTCCTTTTCAGTTTGACTGGTTGCCAACTACGGATAAAGAACCCAGTCCCAAGGTTATTTGTCCGTAAGTAAATGCAATGAACTCGACTAGAATTCGAACTCAGGTTCCCATATCTCATTCCGAACTGTAATCCAATACACTACTCTGTAAAATATATAGAAGTTTAATATTGAACTATATATAAATACTTGCAACTATTGTATTTATACATCCACTTGAATCTCTACTCTCTCCTCTTTCTCATTCGTTCACTTTATTTTGGTTGGGTGGTTCAAAAGAAAGACCCATTTTTAGTTTGTTGTTTTTAATTTGCTTAAATATCGCCTTTGGTGGTTTCTACTCGATGTCAAGTTACTTCCTAATATTAATTCTTACTATGCTTGAAATTTTCTTCTCTGTTTATATCTATTTTATTTTTATTAAGAAAAAGTGGGAAACTCTACCAATAGCACTTAATGCACATAGATTTATTCCCCTTAGTCTAGTTAGCCACCTTACTTATCAACAACAACTAAAAAATCAACCACAAAATCAAGACTTAAAGTTCTTCAAGTGGAAAATAGGACAAATCAACATCCAGTCAGGATCAGATGATTTCTGGATGTTTTTCATTTTATAAGAATATAAGAAATTAAACCTTATCTGTAGTGACTCTATTGAACATTTGGAATACAATTTATTTTGGACTGTCTACAGAGACAACAGACAATATGTAGTTAGAATTGCAATACGCAAATCATCAGATATTGTAACAGACAATATCTTACAGTAGTCAGAAAGACTGATGGCTGCCAACATTGTTGTTCCTGGCTGTAAGAAACGAGTGATATCATGTTATGCCCCAATAAAAAAAAAATTAGTTTCAGAAAAAAAAAAAAAAAAAAAAAAAACGAAATTCTAAACAGGATTAAATAAACTTTGTATATTACAAAAAACAAAAACAAAACAAAACAAAACAAAAAAAACAAAAAACAAAACAAAACAAAAAAGAAATAATGAAACAGAAAACTGGATTTTAATGCTATCTCAAGTATTTTTGAACGCTACTGCTCTTTTGATGGTAAGACGACACCACTCATTGAAACCACCCTCAAACAGCAATCGAGGACTCTCGTGAAATTTTTGTTATTCAAAAATATATTCCATCCTTAGCATATGGTTCGAGTATCCCATGAAACACCGCAAAACGTGGCATAACCCAGATAACATAACAAAAAGAAAAGAAAAGATTTTTGACTTCAGCATCTCAGACTCTTAGCTTAGGTAGTTTGTGACAGATGTTAGGGTATAGAGTATTTATTGAATCTGATCACAGACAACTTGTAATTAAACTGACAACATCAGTCATTAAACTAACACGCTTTCGCTCACATAAACAACGAAAAACACCTAGGCATAATATCAAAACAAAATAGAGTCCAAATTGATGTCAATAGATCTTGATTAGAACAACGTAGAGGAATCAAATAATACTATCATATATTCATTAGCTGAAGCGCGTGAGACCATTCCAAAAATACCTATAAGGAAAAAGATACATCCAGTGTACGACAGTCATGAGCTGAAAAGATGATTACAAGAAAGAAACAAACAGCAGAGGAAAATGGAAGGAAAAATACTAAACAATTAGCAAAGAAAAAAAAACGTGTTAACTCTTTGAGAAAAAAAATATCTCCGGAAAATTGGAAATTAAATTAATAAAGGCAAACATCATAGGAAATGTGAAAAAATGTGAAGAAAAGAAAACAATCACAATAGCATCATACTATCAAAACCAACACAGAAGAATTGTCCTGGTCTTAAAAAAAAAAAAAGAAACACATCAGTCAGATTTCAAACGTAACATCACTAAACTAAACATTCCCACAGAACTCGAACATATACCAATATACATCCAATCATTAAAAAGTCTGTCTTTAAACATAATCAATCATGAATCTACTATCGAAGAAAGCTATTGAAAAACAAGCAAAAATAAAGCAACACCTGTAATTGAAGCTGAACTTTTCAAAATAGTTTACGAATTCAAAAACAATTTTATGAAAATGTGGAATCAGAAAGCATTTTAAAATGGTGGGGTTTATCAAGCATTAATGTAGAATAGAAACAAAAATGAAATCCTCAAGACTGACACGTACATAAGTATCTCAACTGGATCCATTAAGGATGAAATTATTAATGAAGATTATATTAACATCGTTTTATGAAAGTCAGCTCGTCACAACCCAGTTTGTTTTTCGTTCTGGTAAGGGATGTAAAGATATCATGTACGTAATCAAACAACTCCAAGAAATTGCGTACCTCCCTAATAGAAAATTATATACCAGATAGTTATGATCGACTTCACAGCATCATATGACAACATCAATAGAGACTTAATCTTCTTATCAATTAGAAACCGCCTTCCAAGCTCTGAATCCATTGAATGCATCGATCTAATAGAAAATTTTTTAAATCTTACATGTCTGGCGAGGACCTGAATAGAAAAACATTTTAAACCTCATCAGGAATACGACAAGGAGGAAATGAGAGCCCCAGTCTATTTTTCCAGTCTATATTTCCAGTTTTTCCCAGACGATTTACATTTACAAGCGTCGATATGAAGAGATGGATATAGATCATTTAAACATTTATCTATATACAAAATTCTGTGACTTTCGTTACAGCGTCCCTCTGTAATATCCTTCAAAATAGCCATACATTGACTGATCGAAACCATTTTGGGGGGGAGGGGGGAGAGCAAACAGATAATTACAGGTGGTTTTACTAGAGTGCGTAAAAACTGCGAAATTGAGTTTTGCCAAAGTATTTTTTTTTTCAAATAAATCAGCTTATTCAAATTTCATCGATTGGTTTGCAACATTGAACGAAACGTATATTTTGTAAATCCCTACAAAAATAATTTCAGCAATACTAAACACTGTGTGGATTTCAACACGCGTTGAAATTCTCGTTCCATAAAATATCCCAAACAAATCTACTAGAAGAAAACAGCAATCCTGTTTTCTCTCCCGCGACAAATATGCTGCTGATGAGTGGTGGTGGTGGTGGTGGTGGCTTGGATACTATGCTGACGACATTGGTATTCATAGTTCGAATAAGAAGGATCTTGAACAGAAAATCAACCAACTAAATGTTCAAAGAAATGCACAGTTTTCTGTTTCTTTTTTTGTAA